ACTTAGATGGCTGCTGGCTTGAAGACAAGCCTTTAAGCCCTCTACACACACGATTCTTTCTGATTGCTTCTACATTTTCCTGTAGCACCCAGACCTTCAATGATCACTTCATGAGGGCCGCATTTGAAGATCTACTTCTGAGAAGTCAGCCATTAAAACCATGTGGAGTGTGGTAGCTCTACTGTGACACACATGGGTCGCCAGGAGTGGGAGTGAGTTCAACAGCAACTGGGTTTTTGTTTCAGTGACAAAGAAAAGGGAGTCCATCACCCTCATTCCTGGAGGTGGACAGGGAGCAACCTCTGACACATCCTGCCGAAATGTCCACGTGTCTGGACACCACAGGCAACCATCCTCTACCCCTACACACAGCACTTTCTCTCATCTAGTCTCTAGTCTTCCCTGCATACCCCCCTCTCATTTTAATCTTCCCTCCTTCTCTTTCCCAGCAAGGTCTGGCTCAAGAGCTCCCTGGCTTCGAATGTCTATGGTCACCGCTGCTGTTGCTGGGTGCCAGCAAGTCAGCTCTGGCTCCCAGGAGTCCTATGTGCTAGAGCAGACTGCCCTTTAGGGCAGTGGTTCGCAACCTTCCCCATGCCGCCACCCCCCAATACAGTTCCTCATGTGGCGGTGCCCCGCAACCATAACATTCTTTTCGTTGCTACTTCATCACTGTAATTGTGCTACTGCTATGGATCGTCATGTAAATAGCTGATGTGCAGGATGTATTTTCATGGTTACAATTGAACATATGGTAAGTAAAACATAGTGATTCATCACCAAAGCAATATGTAATTAAATATTGGGAAGTATTAATTTATAATAACAAATAAATGAAATGTTCTCTTGAAGCATGGTGTAGCATGGGTAACGGTCTTCACGCTGGGTACTCATAGGTGGGTGTATCTGCATGTGGGCAGAGCTACCTGTTGACAGATAGAGAAGCTGTGTCTCGGTTCCTAAGACTATCGGGAATATGTGTGTTCTGATGGTCTCAGGCGACCCCTGGGAAAGGATTGTTTGACCCCCCCCCCCAAAGGGGTCACGACCCACAGGTTGAGAACTACTGCCTTAGGGTTTCTTTGACCGCCATCTGTAAAGGAGCAGGTCACCAGGTCTCTCTCTCTCAGCAGTTGGCTGGATTTGAACTCGCAATGTTTGGGTTAACAGTAGAGCTTTAAACTACTGTCCCACCAGGCTTCCTTCTAGACGCTCAGAGCCAGGGGTACTCCAAAATGACCCCTATACCTCTATTCCCAATACCCTGCCCACAGTTCCAAGCAGCCACAGAGGGCAACTGTGTGCCTTCAACACATCTGCGTGTGTGGTTGCCAGTACCCTGAGACCAGAAGCATTAGATGGTGCCCAGCTACCACGGCCAACCACGCTGACTGCCACGGCAACAGAAGGATGAGGACAGGGCGCAAGAAAAATGCAGAGCAAATGTCCAAATCCTAACGGAGCCCAGAATGACTGGTCTGACAGAGCGGTGGACCCCCAAGACTGTGATCCATACATGCCCTTCAAACCTGGACCCGTGGCCACCCTAGGGACTCAACTTTCAGCCCCACAATTGCAAGGCTGATAAAGTGACCACCACCACCCGTGAGGAACATGCTCCCCAGAGCAGCCAACCAAACGATACCTCAAGGGCACCATCTAGCCAACAACAATGTTCAGGGGCAGGAAAGGGGGAGTGAATGGAAGCAGGGAACCCAGGGAGGAGTTGGGAAGGGGCTGCTCCATTGCGGGGATTACAACCCACGTCATGCAATGACGTCATGAACTGAAATGCAGATCAACTGGGACGGGAAACTCGTGTGTTCTGTAAACTTTCCCCCACACCACGAAGTGATCCTAATGGAGGATGAAAAAGCGTCCATCCCCATGTGGCTAGAATGCAGGTGTACCTGGAGCCCATGGGGCTGTCTGAGAAGAGATGGGGTGCAGAGGCTGCTGGGCTGGCGTAGGTCCTCAGCACCCAGCAGCCCTTCCCCCATTCAGACCCCTTCCCCCTTCCCAAGCTGCGTGTGCCCCACAGCAAAGGGACGGGGCGCCACAGGAGCGCCAAGCAGATATGAAACTCCTCTTTCCAGCAGGCTCAGGCTGGTGACCTGCCCAGGGCTTCGGGCTTGGATTTCTAATCACCATCTCAACCGCCCCTCTCCGGTTACTGGGGGTTGAGGGCAGCGAGCATTCAAGGAGATCAGGTTCCCTGGGCTGTTGCCGTTGCCATGGGGAAGGGCGCCATGTGCCCACCTCCTGAGGTGAGCCTCCACCGGTGACCCTGGGAGCTGAGGTCACCTCTGGATACGGCCACCTTCTGCAGCAGGGTGGCATCAACCACAGGTGCTGTGAGGAGGGCGGGGGCAGGGGGAAGGGCACAGCATCCGACCCTGTCGTAGCGGGGCCTCTCGTCACTGCCAGTGGTGCCTAGAGTCCACACGGTGAAGGGGGGCCCTAGAAGCACCCGCAGTATTTTATAGTTAATGCAGTGATATTCAAGGGCAGACACTGAGCTGCTATCTGCAAGGCTGCCAGCTACTCCGTCGGAGAAAGATAACGCTGTCGCTCCCATAGAGCGGTACAGCCTCAGATGAGTCAGAATTGACTCAGTGGCCGTGGGTCTGGCTTAATATTAGTGGTGTTAAGTGTCTTCTTTCTCTCTAATGAATCCCTGGAGTGCATACGGTGAACCCACTCTGCTGCGAACCAGAACCTTGTCAATCAAGCTCCCTCCCAGGGGCACCGTGGAAAAAAGGCCTATGATTTATTTCTGAGTAACTAGTCACGGAAAACGCCGTCAGGCCCCCAGCTGCACGCGGGGGGTGCAGCACCAGGCAGCGCTTCACCAAGCAACGTGAATGTCATAGGCTCGGCTGGACATTGTACGAGAGGAGGGACAGCAGATTTGCCTCTCAAATGTTTTATGTAACGGGGAGCTTTGCAGAAAAAAAACAAATACCAGAGTTGCTTCCTGAAGCAGCAAGGCCCGCAGTGCAAAGGCAGCCAGCCCCCTTCTCTTCAGACTGAGAGGGTGACCACGAAGGAAGCGCACTGACCTTCTTTGGGAGAGAAGTTGAGGAACTGGTCCACTTCGTGAGGCTCCAGTTTGATCTTGGGAATGACTGTCTGGCAGGAGGAGTCCACCTGGAGAGAGAAATTGCCAACACCGCTCTGAACACGAAGCTCGGCGCTCAGGAAACACTCAGCAGAATGCTTAGGTCTTCCTCTCGAACATCCCGCTTCTCGGACTACGATGGGCAGCCTGGGGCACAGCTGGGGTGAGGTGGGCCACAGGCTCCTCCTGTGGGGGACATCCTCTCCCTCACCTCGACAGGCACCACCGCCGATGGCACCCTAACCTGTTGCCTTTCATCTCCTAGGTGGATGGAAGGCAGAGCGCCCCAAGATACACTGGGTCTGTGTATCGCCTACCAGGGCAGGGAGACTACCATTCCTGACCCAGGAAGTGTGCCTTCCAGAAGGTTCATGCGATCACCGCGTATAACCCGGAGCACAGGAGGACAGCAGAACGTGTCCCTGCACCTTCCTGCTGGACTGATGGAGACTGGTCCACGGTGGGCTCTGCATCACTGTTTGCAGTGTCTTTTCTCTCCCTACGCTCGACAGAGCCAAATCACTCAGGCAGCCTGGCCCCAAGGACGCTCTCAAAACACGAAGGTATTGGTTGTGTGTTTTCCAGTAACCCGCTAAAGCCTTTGTTTAATGAGAGATTCCTCGACTTATTTCTGCCGCCCTGTAACCACCCAGAACGTTCCTGTCAGTACGAAACCCTTTCTTCATCCAGACGTGGGCAGTGGGATGGTTCCCTGGATCTGCTCAGCGATGCCCCCTACCTGCCACACCTGAGAGCGCCTCTCCCCACCTCCGGACACTGGAGGCAGCGCTGGGGGAGAGCATGCAGAAGAACTTCCTGGTTTCTGTAGGTAGCCTGGGGGACGTGAACATGTACCCAAGCCCACCAACACCAAACGGACTGTCGGTGACGCTAAGTGGAAGAACTTCCTGGTTGATTATAGGGAGGAAACCTTGAACAGTAGAGCCCGGTACGCGACCGCATCAGTACCCGACAAAAATGGATTTCGACACGACACGAAATGTCAAGAACGTTTTGCATCGGAGTGCAAACAAGACATGGGAATCGGACGGGACCCACGTGATGTTTGTAAACAAAAGCAGTTCTTGTTTCTGTCACTCAGCGTTAGTTGGTGTTGTTAGTACATGTTGTTTAAACCTTCTGCGGCTGTGTTCCAAGTGTTTTGCTATAATTTTCTTAGTTTTTGTGGTTTGGGGGACTGTTTTTAGATAAAAAACATGGGTCCCAAGAGTTTTTTGAAACGCATCATCTTGATAAGGAACCGGTTAACCGTGTTACCGATATTGTTGATGATAATCTAGTAAAGCCTTTGAGAAACAGTTCAGGAAATGCCAACAGCAGATGACATTAGATGGATATTGTTTTTTTGGAGAAAGCCAGCCTGGTCCGAGTGAAAAAAGGGAAAGCAGGGTACAAACTCCTGAAAAGTAGCGCCCAGTGGATTTTCTGGAAGGGGATTCCCCTTCCCAACAAGGACTCTCTCCATCCCTCCTTCCACACCCTGTCCACAGACCCAGGTCCTCATCCGTCTCAGGGTATGCAGCTGTTAAAAACTTCCTTAATGTTGTGTTTCTTATTTAAATTATATTATTTAACTCTGAACTTATTTACTTTGACATTCCTGTGTAATGTTTTGTATAGAAAGGCAAGGTTAGGGTAAAAAATTGGTGGTCGAGAACGGATTAATCCATTTTCAGTTCTTTCTTATGGGGGAAGAATTGATTCGGAACTCGTCATCGCACCCGGACGCTCCTTCTAGAACGGATAGCGTCGGGGTCCGGGATTCTACCGTACAAACCGGCCCTCGCCAGACCCTGCCACCGAGGTGATTCCCACTCGTTGCCGCCCACGGGAGGAACGCCTGTTTTCTCTCGGTCAGCTTGCCCAGGTGAAACGCACACAGGTACAGGAAAATAAGGTGCGCCCCTCATCCGACCACTTCCAGTGGTGACAAGGAAAGGGCTCCCGGGTTTCCTCTGGGAAGCGCTTCCCTGCGATGCCCTGCCTGGCCGGAGAACAGGACTGTGCGTACCGCGGGGTTCAGCTCCAGAGCCGGCTCCTCCTTCTCCAGGGGCGCCGCGATGGCAGTGATGGTCAGCGTGACCGAGGGGACCAGCCCCGGGGGTGGCTCGTCCGTCATGGGCTCCGTCTTGATGGTGGCCGGGGAGAAGTCCGTGGACAGGAACCACTTCTCGCTGTCCACGTCATCTACGGGACAGAGGGAGACACACGTGAGCCGGTTACCTGCGAGGGGGCAGGCGGGGGACACGTGCCAGGGAGGGACGATGGCAGGAGGGGCGCGGGGACACGAGCCGCGGCGCGGGGGGAGGGTGGACACTTAAAGCACACCACTGTGGGGACGGGCGGGAGAATTCTATCGCTGAGTTTCTAACTCAAGGGATGCACCTAGTCAAACACAAATTAATAACTTGTTTGAAATCCACGGAGAAAGGGGTAGATGGCTGGCAACCAGGGCCGAGAAAGACTGAGCGCACGGGCGGCGGCTGGCCAGGAGGGCTCCCACCTTTGGGCCCGCGTGCCGAGAACCACCAACTGACCATCAGTGGGGGGTGGGGGAGTGGCGCGACATGTAACCACGAGGCCACCAGACCGGAGCCTAGACAACTCTCTGGGCAGCTCAGCACAGCCCTGAGGGGAGGAAAAGCCCACCAGGGACTTCCTCGAAGCTTCAGGGCACTGCTGGGCCCCCACGTCAGCACTCGTCCCTACCGTGGGGCTGGCAGAGACACCCTCCCTGCTGTGTGCACCCCAACATGGCTCCCCCCGTACACACATAGAACCAATCAATCTTGGGAGTACTACTGCCCTGGGAGTCCAAAGCCCTTAGGCGGGCGGTGAGATGGTTTTACTTGCTGGAATTTGAGCGCCCCCCCCCCTTTCCTAGAAACAGGTACTTAAAGATCGCTCGTGGGCCCTGGTGCTCAATGGTTAAGCGCTGTGTTGCCAACCAAAAGGTTGAGGCTTCAAATATGCATGGGGGGCAGGGAGCACGGGCACATCTACTTCCATAAAGACCCACAATCTCAGCAGCTCCACCAAGGGTCAGGGGCTAGGGGTCCCGGGGCAGCCGGTTAAAGATCACTCAGAGCTCTGGGGCTGGGGCTGGGGGAGGTGTCCAATCCAGACAGTCGAGCTGAAGTCCACGATAATGAACATTTCATTCCGTGAGCACAGAAAAAAATGAAATATTCACATTTACCCAAAAAACGTATCCCCCACCCCCACCCCACTCCCCCCAAGTCCAATTCTGAGATGACTGAGTGGATTCTCCAGGGTAGTGGAGACAGACAGGCTGGGCTGTGTTGAGGGAGGGTGTCGGGAGGCTGAGTCAGCGGTTCCCTGCTGGGGGTGGAGGGGCCGAGGCAGGGAACAAAGAGCTTCTGACAGAGATGAGGGAGCAGGGGCCTGCTGTGCTGGGTGGGGCGTCTTGCTGGCTGGCAGAGGGGCGCCAGGCCTAGAGAAGTCAGGGCAGGAAGAGTCTAGCTGAGGTGCTCTGTCGAGAACTGCAGGCATGTTTGGGGGCAGGCTGGGGACAGAACTCAGACCACACTTTGCCACCAGCCACTGTCTGCAGGCCTGGTCGGGCTCTGAGGGAGCACTCACTCCTGGGAGGAGTAAGCCCTGGTCCACCCTGTCACCCTGTGCAGCCTGAGCCGGGCTTGCCCTGGCCGAGGGGGCTCCGGGAGAAGGGGCAGCACCCGGACTGAGAGCTGGGGAGGTGTGGCACCAGCAGGCTGCGGGAACCTGTGCACGACAGAACACTGATGCTGCCGCTGAAACACAGGCTTTTTAGGAACCAGGGGACTGACTGTGCTTGCAGTAGAAGGCAAAGGGGGTAAGAAGTCTGAATACAAACTGAGGGAGAGGAGAGGACACACACGGAAAGGAAATGTGCTAGAATATCGGAAGCAGTCAGCTCTACACCACCAATTCCTAAACTTTGTGAGCCTACCACCTCTGGTAAACAAACCACCTCACTCAGCGCCTGACCTGCTCATTAGAAACGTTTGTGCTCTAGCCTGTCATCCAGAATAAGTGTAGGCAAGTGCTTTGGCAGCCCCCTGCTTCCACCGGGTCATTCCAGCACCCCCACCCCCAGGAGGTAGTACTGCCCACTTGGGGAAAACACGGGTCCAGATAATGTTTTGGAACACGAGGGGTTTTGAATTCTCTATTTTTTAAAAAATGCTGTAATACAGCCAGTCCCTGGGTTACAGAGGCCCTACTTAGATATAATACCACCTGTCGTTAAGAACCAGCCCTGTGAGGCTTCAAACCCACACCAAACTCACTGCTGTCGAGCCTATTCCGGTTCATGACGAGCCTACAGGGCAGGGTGGAAGTGCCCCTGGGTTCCCAAGACTGTCCTCTTTACGGGCGTAGAGCGCCTCCTCTTTCTCCTGCGGAGCAGCTGGTCGTTCCAAACTGCTGACCTGGCAGGTCACAACCCAACGCGTAGTACCCACTCCGCCCCAGGAGCTCCTCCATGAACCTCTCATATTCACAATGCAAGGGGCACAGGAGGTATGTAATACCAAGCTGGCTCTACTCTGATGCAGCAAATCTACTATTTGTATTACTGTATGATTACGTAACTGGAGGTATTTTTATACCTAGAAAGGTGCACCATACAGAGCCACGGCCAAGGCGCTGAGTCCACTCAGAGCGGCCCTGTACAGAGTTTCCAAGGCTGCAAATCTTTCCAGCAGCAGACAGCCTCATCTTTCTCCCAAGGAAAGGCTGATGAGTTTGAACCACCAACCTAACAGGTAGACGTCTCCCATTACCAAACAGAGCCACCAGGGTGCACTATACGAAACACACACACATACACACATAAATTATAAAAAACACAAAAAACACTGCCATCGTCAATGCTGAATCATGGTGACCCTTGTGGGTTTCAGAGACGGTAAATGCTTAAAGGAGTAGAAAATCCAGTCTTTCTCTGATGGAGCTGTTGGTGGTTTCGAACTGCTGGCCACAAGAATCAGAGCCCAATACATAACCACTACACCACCAGAGCTCCTATATAGTATATATGCGATACACTAAGACAGACAGACAGACATACATCTGACTGGCTGGCTGACTCAGACACGAACCCTACTCCAGCTTGCTAAACTTCGACGACAGCCAGACTCGGGGATGGCACTTGCTGGTAACCCAGAGTTGATCCAGTGCTGCCCACCCAGGGGCCAGCCTATTCCAGTTCATGACGAGCCTACAGGGCGGGGTGGAAGTGCCCCTGTGGGTTTGAGACTGTGCCTGCTGTCCTAGGTGTCTCGGGATGGAGCGTATTGGGCAGCACTGGGAGCTCCCACGCCCACTGGGACTAAGCACATGCGCCCTTTGGATTCGTGGTGAACTGGCTGCTCACAGTGGGCTCACCCCTAACACCAATTGTGAGGGCGCCCAGGACCGAGCGGTATTCCTCTCTGTGGTACCGACAAGCTGGAGCCACCATGACGGCCCAACAACTGCTCCAGGTGCGTGTGAAAATGAGGTGCACACCAGACTGGTGGAGAAGTGTGACCTACTGTGAGAGTGTCCGGAGCGTGGCACAGAGACACAAAGGGGGCACCAGTGGTTGGAAAAACGCTGCCAAGAGAGTTGCCTGGCACAGGATGCCACAAACAAGCAGCGAGCGCAATACAGCATGGGCTCCAGGCATCAGTCAGCACTGAGGGTGACGCCCACACAGCTGTATTTAACGTGGAAGACTTACAGTGGCCTCAAAATCCACCTGCTCTTCTACCAGGCAGGCTGGGGCGTTGCCGGGCACTCGGCTTAGGGCTTAGATCTCTCCCCTGACACTGCCCACCCCACCCCCCAAAGGGAGGGAGCACACACCGGTGTCCAAAACATTCACTGTCCCCAACAAAACCATCCCCCATCCACGAATACATTCACTGTCCCCAACAAAACCATCCCCCATCCACGAATACATTCACTGTCCCCAACAAAACCGTCCCCCATCCACCAGAAGAAAACATCACCAAGCTCCGACCTAGACGACCCTCTGCTCGGCACACTCCCTATCAATCCGTCTATTGTCTCACGACGAGGAACTACGGCTATGCTGCTGTTCCTGTCGCCCGGAAGGCACTGGAGCACTAACGAGATGAACTATGAACCCAGAACCTTCGGCACACAGACTCGCTGCCCCTGGACTTCCCAGGAAATCACCAGCAGGCCGGGTCTGTAAACAGAATAAGGTGACCATCGGGGAAGTGGAACATTGTGTGCTTTGGCCCCGGGATGAAACAGCTTCCCGAAAAAGATTGTCGCGTGAATGCTGCCCACACCATTCCCGGCACAGGTGGTGCCCAGGTGTCATTTGGTGGCATTTAGTTGAGCAGACTTAAAAAACAAACCAAGGTCATGGTGGAAGAGGAAGGAAGTGGGTGGACCTGCCATCATGCCCGGAAGGGTCCGGTTCTCGAGGGCTGGGTGTCCTGACCCTCTGGTCTCCACCTGCTTCCCTCCAACCTCTTCCCTGTTTAACTGTGCTCGATGCTTCAACGCCCAACTGAACCCTGGCCTCTGAGCACCCACGGGGTGCTTGTTCTTGGATGTCGCCGGCCAGCTGGCTTTCCCTGGGGGCGTGGCTCACATCCTGGGGAAGCAGGGGTTAGGGCCACCTAACGATGCTGAGCCGACAGGCGGGATTTGGGTTGTACTGCTACATCCCACACGTGTGTATGGCTGTGCACCCAAAGCCAAAAACCCACACTCTTCGCCATCAGGGCTGACCCATGCATGGCAATGCCCTGTGGTTTCCGAGGCTGTAGCTGTTTACAGGAGTAGAAAACCAGCCTTTCTCCCAAGGTAACCGTACACCACAGTGAGGCCCGAGTACAGACGTGCTGTTGAAGGGAAAGGCCGGTCAGCCTCGGCTGTCAATTCACCTCCAGCTTGAGTGTTCGGGACACGCTGGAGACTCTGGAGAGGTCCTCTTCATGCAGTCTGTTGGTACCTGACCTCGAGTTGAGTCCAACTGGAGCCAAGCCCCTGGACACTAGAACCAAAGGTTGCCCAGTGCCGCACCGTATTCCCGATCACTGTACCTTGGCGTGCACCCTGTAGGGCCTTCCGCCCAGAGGGCCCATCTCCCAGCCCTGGACCAGACACTGTTCTGTGTGAGTCATCGGATTTTCAGTGGTGATGTCCACAAGCAGACTGCCCAGTCTCAATGTTGAAGCATCACTAAACCTCTCCGCAGGGGCAGAGGCAGAGGAAGGGACAGATACTACAGCGAGGATCCTCTACACGCCTGGGACCCCAGAGATGCTGGGGACGACCTACACAGAGACCCCGCTCTGTCCATCCGTCCGCATAGCCTCCAACTTGTGAGAAAATAAATAGCTATTCTTTAAACCCACCTACTTGTGCTTTTCTTTCACAACAGCATGGGGTGACCAAAACAGAGAAGGTGCCACAGCTCTGCCTTTGGTCTGCGAGAGCCCTCAACCCCGGGGGGACACCAGTAACCCCGCACGGCGACCCACCCCGCCAGCCCTGGGGAGAGGAGCCCATGATCTGGCACTGACTCCCTGGATATTCAAATGAGCCTCTTGGAAGCAGACTTCTCTGGAAAAGATCCCAGAAGGGTTCTTGTCCAGCGACATCCGATTTCAACCTCTCGTGAGATTCTGGCCCCAAACCACCCAGCAGAGAAATTTCTACATTCCTTAAACCCAGGATTCAGGACAGGGAATGAAAGGATTACTGCTGTCCTGAGCCCAATGCCAGGGTAGATGTGTTGCTCAGACTAGATAGAAGTGAGGCTTTAGAAGGTGTCACCAAGGAGTCCTACCCAACTTCTAAGGACCCCTGAGTCTGGGCCGAAATACCCTGTAGGGTGTCGGAGGCTGCAAATCTTTACAGCTGCATCTGCCAGAGAGGTGGCGGTTCATGCAGCCACCGGGGCTTGTCCATGGATGAGGGTTCAAACAGAGGCAGGGAGGTACGGTAAGAAGAGTTTCAGAATAGCAGAAGTACAGGGAGCATGGGGAAAACCCGTGAGCACAGGCAGGTATAAAATGTGCTCCCACTGAAGCCCCTACAGAACTTCAGGATGAGAAGATGCCTTGAAGGTCGTTCCGTCCAACCACTTGTTTAAAGGTCAAGCCCACGGTTTCAACAGCACAACTCAGCCAGGGAGGGCAATGCACGTGCCCAAGCTGGAGCCCAGATGGAGGGGCTTCGAGACAACCAAACACGCTGACCCACTGCCCCTGGGATGGCTCCAGCTCCCAGGGCCCCCGTACGGCTGAGGAGCAGCCCTCCGTCCCAGGAGGAGATAAAACAGAGGAGGGAGAGGGAAAGGGAAAGGGAGGGGCTGATGGAGGGAACGGCTGTAGCCCAGGCGCTGCCCTCCGTTCTCAAGTACCTGGTCACACTGAACCCTGGAAACAACGCCACGGTCAGTCTCAGACTGTCCTCATTCTAGACACACCTCACCCTGTATCACTCCACCCCTCCAACCCAAGGGGGCACAGTCAAACCCCAAACGTTACATCAGCAGCAGGACCCTGAGCGGGTGCTTAAGACAGCCCCAGCATCCAGCCAAGAGCCCCCTCTCTGATCTGGGACATCCCTTCCCAGAGGATGTTGTTGGTGTGGTTGTGAGGTGTCCTGGAGTCGGGGCTGACTCCTAGGACCCCACGGATGACAGAGGGAACAGTGCCCAGTCCTGCCCCGTCCTCCCACATGCGACTCTGTGTGATCCCAACGCTGCAGCCACGGCTGGACCCGGCTCCTCCAGGGGCGTCCTCTTTGCCAATACGATGCTGCCTCGTGGTGACATGTCCAGAGAAGGACATAAAACCGCAAAACCCCCCCAGCCTCACTTCTGGCGGCCTGCCTCCTTTATATAAAGCCCACAGTCAGGAACCAGTCTGGTACAGTCTGCTGTCGTGCCGGGCATCCCCACACACTGGAAACCGCTCGGTCGGGAGCCGTCCCCGAGGTGAGGCTTGGATGGAGTTCGGTAAGTGCAACAAATGAGAGAGCTGCTAGAACTTTGAGTTTTCTTTGAAAATGACCTGAAAGTTTTCCCCGGTTCTTCTAGTCACACCGGGAAGCCCATTTCCCTTGCAGACTTTTCCCAGCGCTAAGCAGGGGCTTCTCTTAGGAAGGCTCTACCTTGGATGCAAACCTGAGGTGTTGTTTTTTTTTGGTAAATTACTAAAAAAAAATTTGTGTGTAAATTATTTTTCAGGGTTATAAGTTTAAGCACCTTAATCCCTAATTTGTTTCTTTTTTCTAAAAAGAATTTTAAGTTTTATTGGCATATAATTCACCTACCACACTATTCTGTGGCTAAATACATGAGTTTGCGTTATCACCCAATCAATTTTTGAACATTTTATTCATTTTTCCCCTGAGTGCATTTCATTCATCCTTGTACTCAATAGTAGCTCTTCCTTTCTCCCAGCTTCCCCTGCCATAACTCTCCAGAACTATTAACTCAGTTACTGTCACTGCAGATGAACCTACTCCGAATTTCCGAGTTTCTCTGACAACGTGGTGGTTTTTGCTGCTCACGAAAAGACAGCCACAATGAATGTACCACGGCAGAAAAACCAAAAAGAACAGAGTGAGCGAGCAAGTCCCACAGTTCTAAAAACAAATAAACGTTGGTGTTCTTTCATGATTTTAGTATGCTTTATCCTAACTTCCTTTAGCAATAAAAAGTGAAATGAACCATTAGCTTGTGGCTCCAGGCCAGAGACGGAAAATGCTTGTTAAAAAGTAACAAGACAGAAACTTTTACTCTGAGGGCCCCTGGAAAGTAAAATAAATCATTCCATTGTCCATCACTGCTGGTCACACCGTCCGGGGCATGACCAGGCCGAGAAGGCAGCATGAGAAGATGACCTACTGTTTACTGACCAGCACCCCCCACCCAGCTCCAGCCTCCTGACTCTTTCCTTCCCAGCCCCCTCCTCTCTCCCCAGAGGTAAAAGCTCCCCCCACCCCCCGCCAGAGGAGGCAGTGTGAGGAAGCCCTCCCTCCATCTCTCGGGGTTCTAGCCCCACAATGGGACTTTGGCCTGTGGTGGAGTGTTCCAGCCCAGCTTTGGTGGGAGGCACAAGTGACAGTCCTGGTTCTTGGAAGTTACCTGTGAACCTAGGCAGCCCCTGCAACACTACTGCCCTTGTTGAAGGAGCACATACGGGCCTCTGCTTGACCACAAGGAAGCCGCATGCGCAGAGTTGCGAGGACGCCCAGGCCTCCGGCAGAGGCGGCCAAGTGTACAGACACCCTGCCCCGAGCAGGGGAAGGCAGGTGTGTGGCCCAACTGGGAAACAAACTGCACACCTTCTTTATTGGCCCCAGTGCGACAAGGCCGCCGGGAAAACCAAAAATACGGTCAACCATTTTAGAACGGTGACCGCCGTGGACGAGACCACGTGTGCCCACGGAAGGTCTTCCACTGCCGGCCTTTCGGTGAGCCCGTGGCCAGGTCTGCACTTGTGCCACCCAAGGACCACGGAGTAGCAGGGATGACAACTGAAGGTCCCCAAGCCCAGACACTGGGTGTGGCCTTTGACCACAGCCCTGGACTGTGCACACGAGAGGGTGGCCAAACAAGGCAGTCTGGGAAGGCCCCCAAGATGTTTTGGTGGAGTGGAATGGTCACCAAAACTCTTCCAAGAGGGGGATAAATGACACCGCCCCTTCTTAAGTACCGGGTTGTGACCCCCTCCTTCCCTCTCAAAGAGCTGTTGGGATCTTAGACCCTGCACCCAGAAATGTGACCCTGCTGGGGAATGACGAGTGATAGTAATGAGGTCACACGAGTGTGGTTTGGGGGCGAAGGGTGGGTGCGAGAGATGCCACACAGAGCTCTCCTACGAGTGCTGAGAACACAGAGGGTCTTTCCCCAGAGCCCACCTCCTGATTCAGACCTCCAGCCCCCTAAAGTGTGAGAAAATAAATGTCTGTTCCACAAAGTCTCCCACTTGTGGTATTTCCGTCAACATCTAAGAAACAAGATGGGCGGGAATGACCAGCCAGAGGGGCCAGCTGGTTTGTCCTGCTGTCTCCCCCAGGGGCCACGCCATTCCAGCAGACCCCACACAGGAGCCCACCTCGGGGGCCGGACCCTGCATGCCCCTGGGGTGTCTGCCTGAAGCGGGTGCGGACTGCCCGTCAGCTCGCTCCCACCATGAGGGCGGAGTTCAGTTACCATCGTGGAAGCTCTCCCCGGGGGCTGTGTGGCTGAAGGGTGACTGGGCTCCCGGCTCCTCACTCAGCGAGTAGCTGTGCTCGGCTTGGATGAGGGGTGCGGGGGACGTCGGGGACGGCCCCACCTCCATGGACTCGCTCTTCTCCGAGAGGAAGGGGTCGTTCAGGAGCTGGCCCAGGACATTCTGGGAGAACTCGTCCAGAAGTTCGGAGAAGTGCTGCGGAGACACAGGAGGGAGAGTCAGTCGGGTGCACGGTCGGTGGCAAGCGCACCGCTGGCTTCACGAGGAGCCCCCTCGGGGGCAAACCCTGCTCTGCATCCCTACGCTGGAGTCTGATGGGAAAACACGCAGCGTTTAGCTTGGCCGGGGCACAGTGCAGGCGTGGAGCACGTGCTTGTTCGAGACCTAACAATCCAGGTCAAACGGACAACAGCCACAGGAAGATGGGGCAGACAACCCCGGGGGCAGTGAGTGGACCTCACAGGAGAGCAACTGCTCAGACAAGGACAGTGAAACACGGATGCCGGACAGACGGAAGCTCCACGCAGACACTGCTGAACTGGAGTGTGGTCTGCTGCGTGTACTCTGCGTGACGGCAGACATAAAGCTAGTATCAAAACGTTAACTATCAAGTCGGTTTTGACACACCAACCCCCCAGGAACAGGGTGACTGCCCCTGTGGGCGTCTGATGCTGTAATTCTCCACGGGAGTGGAAAACTTTGTCTCTCTCCTATGGATTGGTTGGTGGTTTCAAACAGCTGACCTAGAGGTTAGCAGCCCAATGCGTGACCACTCTGCCATCAGGAGTAACCCTAACACTTAGCTTCCAGTACGAATTCTATCTGGAGAGGTTACATTTGGAGTTACAGAACACAGAGTGATGATGTTGGAGTCCCTGTGTGGTAGAAACAGTTAATACACCGGCTGCTAACTGAAGACATAGTGGGTGCAGGGTATCCTCTGTCTGGTACCTCAGAAGAAAGGCCCAGGCAATCTACTTCCCCCAACCCAGCCCTTGAAATCCCTAGGGAGTGCAGTTCTGCTTGGACACACACGAGGGCGCCGTGAGCTGCAATCGACTGGATGGCAGCTGGTTTTCAGTCATTACTAATTTTTAAGCAGGACTACTGGTCTCTCCCCAGCTGCAGCACTGCCTCACTGCCACCGAGTCAATGGTGACTCACAGCAACCTCCCGTGGGCTTCTGAGACTGCAAGTGTTTAAGGAGCAGCAAGCCCAGTCTTCCTGGGGCAATGAGGAGCGAAGAAATTAAAAGAAGCACAGAAACAATTAGTCCAACTGACTCCTGGACCACACACACCCGGGCCTTATGACTGAGAACAGAATGACTAGATGGTGCCCAGCCAGCCACCACGACTGGAGGCTCTGAAAGCCCTGCTTAGCGGGAGAGAGATGCGGGAGCAAAACTCAACATCATAGAACGTGACCAGGCTTACGAGCTGGATAGAGGGAGACCCGCAGGACCCCTGGGACTATGGTCCTTGGTCAACCTTTAGGCCGGGAACTGAACTCACCCCAGGGCTCCATTTCCAGCCAAACGACAGACAGGTCGATAAGGGAACAGTCACGCCAGGGAGGTCCTTACGTACACTTTAGAATCACCAAGCTTTTGCGATCCAAAGGGCGGCGTTTGTCCAAGGACACAGAGCTCAGAAGGGTAAAGAAAGGGGCAGGAACAGCCCGGGACACACCGGGGGAGGTGGGGTAAGCGAAGCAGCGTGCGTATGAACTGCGGGATGAAAAACGAGTCACTCCGTAAAGCGTCACTCGTTCAAAACAAAAGGTTTGCACTTGTTTGTTTTCAAGCACACATGCCTTGAAACGAATGGTTTCCAGATGACTAAAATCACATCCTTGCCCCCTGAGGAGCACACAGACACCGCTTCCCTGGTAAACTCCGTCATCATGAGTGCCCATGTGACCACTGCAGCGAATCGTCAAACCCAGCAAGAGAGCAGAGGGTGCGATCTGAGGGGCAGCTGGTATCAGAAACGGAAAAAAGATCATAAGGGGAGGCCTACCTCACCTCCGCCTTACAGGAAGGAGCCTTGGGCGGCTGGTGCTCCTCCCCACTTGGAAGTTAGAGGGGTCGGTGGGGTGAGATCGCCATTTTGCTAAGAGGTTTGTCAATACACGGTTCAGAGTCTGCACTGTCCTGGGACCGTTTCAAAGCAGCAGCGCCGCGGAGCTGGCCCTGGCCTTCGGTGCATGGGCTATGGCTGGACCTACGGAGTGTGTGGCTCATCATCTCAAGTGGGGGAGCCTGCTGCAAAAGACCTCTTCAGAGTACTGAAAAGCAAGGGTGTTACTTTGAGGATCAGGTGTGCCTGACCGAAACCACGGTCTTCTTCTTCGCCTCACATGCACGTGCGAGAAGGGCATGAATCGGGAAGACCGAAGAAGAGTGGATGCATTTGAACCGCCCTGCTGGAGAGGAATGTTGGAAGCACCGTGGGCTGCCCAAAGAACAAGCAAATCTGTCTGGGGAGAAGTACAGCATGCTCCTGAGAAGTGAGGACGACGACACTTCGTCTGACACACTGGACATGCTGTCAAGAGAGACGTCCTGGAGAAGGACGTCGTGCTTGATAAAGTGGAGGGAGGCCCTCGGCGAGATGGGCGGACACAGGGACTGCACGGTGGGCTCGGGCACGGGAACAATCGTGAGGATGTGCAGGACCGGGCAGTGTTTCATTCTGTTGTGCACGGGGTCGCGATGGGCTGCACCCGATTTGATGGCACCTAACACCACCACCACCACCTCAGCAAAGCAGCTGAAACTAAGAAGGTGGCAGTGCAACAGATGAGACTATCTGTTGGAACTTCAAAGGGCAGGACACAAAACGGCGGTAACTGGGACGTTCATGCTGGCAAGCAGCCTGGCTTGAGGAAAGCAGAGGATAGAAACAGCCGCCGTGGTAGACAGTGGCAAACCAGCTGCCCTTGGCCCGAGGCTGCGTCATGGCACCCCCTGTGGGTCAGGCGAGAGCTCGGCTCCCTGGGGTTTTCAGGGGCTGAGTTTCCATCTCAGAACAGGATCGCCAGGCCTTTCTTCCGAGGCACCTGTGGGTAGACTTGAACCTACAACCTGTCCGTTAGCAGCCCAGTGGACCACCTGGGATGGTTGGCTGGTGGCACCGTGGGTGGCTTTTCTTCTCCAGTTTCTGAAATGAGCTCTAACTGTTGCTTACACTGTTTCATGGCATCTCTCTCGCCCTCTGGGACTCAGTTTCCTTATCTGTACAACTGCATGGGCTGGGAGTCACTGACCTGGGCGACCCTGAACTTGGTCAGTGGTTTATCAACCTGGCTGTTTTATGGGCCCTTGTGAGAAGGCACCCTGTGGGGGTGCTGGGTGAAGCATTGGGGTGCTAGCCAACAAGGGCAGCCATTCAAACAACCCACCAGCAGCTCGGAGGGAGGGACACTGGTAACCCTATGGGGCAGTTCTCTGTCCTATAGGGTCGCTGAGGTGAGGGTGGGAGGGGTCTGCTTTGAGAATCGAGGAAAGTTCCAGAATTGTTGCAGAAAACCAGGGCGAGGTTTCGGGGTTCACCTGCCTCCGGTCTGTCATCTGTGGACCCAGGGGTCCCCGCTAGAGCACACGGCTGTTTGCCATCATTGCTGTAATGTGGTATCATCTTCTGGAATGTTCGCTGTACGCACTTAAAGATGGAGCCGCAGAAGCTTGGAGAGGGCTGCAGGGAACCATCCTCTCCAGGCTGTGGAGTGGGAGGAGCCAGGCCCAGGTCCCAGAGTGTAGAAAGCAAAAGCTGGCCCTCTCCCACAAAGGCCAGCCAGTGTCTGGTGTCGGCAGGACAGGTCACTCAGTGAC